TATAAAATGTTCAGTGCAGGCTTGTAGCGAGACCTACAGGAATGCATAAATGCACATTTATTCATTCTGGTTTTCTTGAAGCAAGTTGATAACATTTCTAAGCAAACTATTTTGGAAAAGCCAAAAACAACTTTAATATACTTTGCATTCTCATTAACGCTAAATTGTTTAAAGTGTCGCTTAGCTAAGTCAGTATTTTCCAGTTCGATTTTATGGTTGAACTCAATTTGAACTTTTGCTCCTTCCTCGTCAAGTAAATACAGTGGAGGTTTGTCAATAAAAGATAAATGTCACAGTTCAAATCGAAAATAAACGAACCTTAAGCTATTTTTCGTAACCATTCCATGAAAACCACTTAATTAGTGTCTCTTGAATAGCGAATTCCAAGATGTTTTCGATAGCTCCCGGCTAGTGATGGATTACCAACTCAATCCATCAAAAATCCTAACGATTACACTTAATCAGATTCCCAATAGTTGGTCCTCAAAAGCATTCAATTGGTGTGACAATAAAAACAAACCGCGCTTCAAGGATTATCGTTATTTTTGACATAGTGAATAAAAATAGGGGGGCCAAAAATAGAGCTACTCAGTTATTTTCAAACGATTATGTTGTTCACCTCAGTATCAATTCGGCTACCACCCACAATCCATTGAGCAATCATGGGTCAGAACTTATATTTGTTGGTCGTTTTTCAATTTAACAGTCCTCAAACGAATCAACTGATTATTAAACACAAATATCAAAATTTGGAAATATGTATGTAGGTATTCTTTTTCATATACCCCAATGTTAAGGCTGAATTGAACTGCTCTTTCAAATTCCAGCAGCTGTTCCTTTGTAAAATTTCCTGGATTTTCAGCATCGGATTCACGTATTATTTGCGGAAAAACTGGCATTAAAGGTCGCAAATATCCATTACACAAGAAAGGCAGCATGAATGAAATTTCAAATCCATTAACATAAGAACATACATTCATTCATATCGTGCGTTGCATAAAACTGATTGTCATTGACTGCGTGTTAGTTTATCGTGTCTTTACCAAACAACACCTTAAGTGTTGTGTATGGACGCCCATCACTTCCGTTAGAAAGGATTTTCGATTCGAATCTTTAAATTGCAGCCTCTCCACTGCACCTTTTATGGATGTAACGCAGGGAAATATAAATAATAAAATGAAAAATGCTAAAGTTTCATCAAGAGTTCGAGCGTTTCGATGAAAGAAGACCATCTGAATCTATTTGAATGTACGGCGGTTTGAGTAATGATCTAACAATTGCCATGACGAGCTTCCATGAGCAACCGCATGAAAGCTATAAAAAATTTACGATTTCAGCTGAAGTGATTTTTAAGCGCTAAAAATACAGCAAATAGATCAATTATAAGCTATTTTTCCTAATTTAGGTGGGAGACCCACTCCAAAAATAGCTTCTCTGATCCCCAAAAACCGCTTTGAAAGTGTTCATGCATCATCTAGTTTACACTATATATTCTGGATAATTAAACTAACGCCTTTGATTCTCTAGAGATTCCCATTATTTTGGTTCACATTGATCTAGGACAAATTGTACTACTTTTCGCCATTACCGCCAGGCTCAGGACAAGTAAACGCTTCATCACTTTTTCCATTGTAGGCTCCAATAAATTGATACGAGATAAACCGTCGACAACGTAATGTTTAACCCATATTTTCAGCTTGCTAACGATGCCTAGATTTATTGTGCCGGAAAATTTATGGCGTAAAGCGAACTTTTCCAAAACAATCTGGTCATAATTCATATTAAATTGTAGCCAATGGTCAACATGGTTTCTCGCGAAGAAATTTGCGTAATGAAGCTGCAACCTAAATAAATCTAAACATGGCGATTCATGTAAAAATATGCGGAACTAGGTTGCACGTTTCGAATTCAAACAGCAGGGTGCATGAATTCATTTCTCGTTTGCTAGAGAAAAATGTGGTGTTAATGGTGGATGACTTTCCTTTAATGGAGTTAAATCCATGGTTTGCTTTCTTTTACAGGTTTTGGACTTTTTGTGCCTATTGCTACAGGCAATCTGCATTTCTCTTCGCTTCGAGACCTTCTATTTCTCATCTATTTTGTATACCATCACTTGTTAGTGAACTTTTCAATATATTTCCTTAGAGAAAATCGATCACGATATCTCATGTTGCTTGCGCTTTCATTCATAGATTTTTCGATTTAATAGGTCTGGATGTTCAGTTATTAAAAATACTTTATCTGTCTGCGATTGGGAAACTAATGTGTCCACCTACATGGACTATTTTTTTTGGTTTTGTGAATGAACATGTGTTTATAGTGGGGTAATTGACATTAAAATACCACGCCTGTCCCGATAGGTTGGCAACTTTATTAGTTAGCTGTCCATTTGAACACTCCATATGACACAACTCACATGGAAAAATATATTTCCCCTTTTAAATTGCTAATGGATCGGTGGAGTTTTTTACTTAAAAAAGTCTCGTTGGCCATTTCAAACTTACTGTAAAACTTAGACTTCAAGTTAGTTAAACCGCACAATACATAACGGAATCCAAACAGACACCACACTTTAATCATGTAAATCATTTGAAGTCTCATGTAAAAAAAAATAATAATTACGAAAAAGCTGCAAATGAACAGATGGTAATAAAATGGAAGAAGCAACGAAAAATGAAATAGAAATTTTATCAAAATTATGAAATAATGCAATACTGAATAAGAGCCGTATACATTTTGAGACACTATTCACATTTTATTGACCCTGCCAAGCGTAACTACATAAACAGACCATCCAAGTATCTACCATATTCTGACTACTCATAGTAATAATCGAATTTAATATTTTGAATTATTCGATTATGAAAATCGTCGAATTAATCCGATTGACTTTTGAAATTGTCTCTAATTAATTTGTCGAGTGATTTGAATTAAAAAATCTCAAAGAAGGAGAAGTGATTTATGCGTTATTGTTATCAAACATAAATGAATACGAGGCGTTTCATCAAAACGCGTTATTTTGATTTACTCGAAGCCTCGGATGTGGAAAAAGAAGGAAAGAAAAAACAAATAAGAGGCTCGACTCTGTACGAGAGATGCTTTTGAGGAAAAATATTTGAGAAGAATTAAAAATGATACAGAACCAAACAAATTTATTTAAAACCCTCTGATGACAAGAAGGTTTATAACAGGAATCAAAGAATGAGACTTTTCTTATTTTTCTCCATATATGGCTTCTTATATCACTCGAATTAGAATTTCCATTATTAACTACGAGATAGAGAGACTCATCATTAATTTACAACTTCGGTCGCCCTTAATAAAAAATATGCGTTTAACCATAAACGCCGACCATTTCCATTAAATACGACTTTAAAGGGAGAATTTTTCCATAGCCATTACAGATCCGGACTATTTAAGTGTTATAGTTTTAGTGATAATTCAACGCTATTTTTATCGGTTCCGTCACGTCTCTACAATGTTCCTAATTCCCAAATAACGTTATTAAATTTGGCAAGCATCCCGAAAACAACGGATCTGGAAACCGAGAGCCAAAAATAAAATTTCCGAATCATTTCTGACATCACACCGCGTAATTCACGAATCGAACAATTCCGAAACGGGACACGTTTAAAGAATCCAACTGTGGTTTTTCTGTTGTCTTTCTGGTTTAATTCTACCTAGTCCAAAGGAAGGTTTCCATCGATTTATATAAATAGACCCTGTCATTCCAGATATGAAAAAAGTTCGTCTGAATTCCCGTTTAATCCACCAGAAAGCTGGACAGCGATTTTGTCAGACAAGGGAAAATACCTATTTGCCAATCGATCATATACTAGCAAGTAAATTATTTCATCGACTAGAACTTGTTTTATGTGATAACATATTTTTAGTACAAACAAACACCCAAAAGAGAATTATTTTTTACATTTTTTATGCCTGTAATGTTTTTCTTAGTTTATTGTCCGGCTGCCAAATAATAGAACTTGCCTAATATGTTTGTGTAGTCAAAAACAAATAATATAGAAAATGTGAGAGTTCATCAAAAAACACTTCATAATCTCGAGAAAAAAACCGCGAATCTACGGTTATCACAGATGGGGCCACAACTCAAGGAACCAGCCAATTGTTTATTCATTTCTCCATTATGCGAGAGCAAGTAAGATCGAAATCAAGTAAAAAATCTCACTAATTCGCATTGCAGTTTACGCTAAGAATTATATAAAAGCCGACTATAAATGAGACATTCGTGATGATTGTCTAGAGAATACCAAGCACGGACCATTAGAAAACGGCCGCAAAAGCCACAATCATCAACCACCAGGTCTGCAATCGACTACCACCGGGTAATCTTATCTCACACCCGATGCATAATACTGGTAAATCTGTAGTAATTTTGATTTAACAGCGCTCCTTGCTGTAATCGTCGTTCAACATCCATCGGATTTGGCTTTATCTCTCGTCAATGGTGGAAGTTACACTTCCGGGATGTTAAAAGAAATTTAATTATTTGTTTAATCTTTCAGTGATAAAATGTCCCCTTTATATAAATACAGCAAATCAGAAAGTATTTCAATCAGTTTTGTTTCGAGGATTTCTATGCTTATTTTTGACTATACATTTTGTAAATTGAATTTAACTGCTTTGGTCTTTTTTCCAGTGTTTTATGCTCTCGTTTCCATGTACTTCACTATAAAAGTATTTCAAAATATAGGTATTCAGTGAGTCCTAGAAGTAAAGTCTAAATTTATTTAAAACTTTTACTTTTTTACTTCTGGGATTCACTGTATACAACTGTTTTCAAAAAGTTTTCGCCACCATGAGCGTTTTAGTTCATTAAAAGCCGTTACAAATACACGTTCTAATGCCTATCAAGGCTTCAAAAAGCGCATGCTGCCGTTCAGGGAAGTATTAAAAAGGTACTGGGAACTAGTGATGTATTCCGCACGACCCGGGCACCTTACCGGATCACTTACTAATTAAATATAACTTACAGCAAGCTAACCGCATACCTCCTGTCGACTTATCGCATACCTTCAATCTCCAGTTAATTTCGCACCTTCGGCTTCCGTCTCGCTCGATTCCGAATGGCGAACCATCCATGAGACGAGGATGGAAACTGGCGAGTCTTTTAAGGCACAGGAATGGCAAGGAGCTGTATTCAGTTAATTGTCATCTACTGTATTCGAGTGACATTTTCAGATAAGTCAATTAGTTTAGGTTCGCGACGAAGCAACTAAAGTAGAATCTCTGACTACGTTCGAGAACTTTTCAGCTGCCGTTTGGCATGTGGTAGCACAAAAGTGGCAACTGCTGGCAATTCATCAACAGCATCAACATTCGGATTGATTTTCGGAATTTTTTTCCAGTCTCCAAATGAAGCGGTGAATTTCATTCCAGCTATTCCGGTACTTTAGGGATAAAAAAAGAATTGCTTAGTCCCGTCCCGAATTCCATGTGTTTGCTTCAAATATGAATCCCATCAACACGTGAGAGTATTTATTTAACTGTAAAAAATCCTCAGATACGTGAATACACATGTGTGAATTTAGGGACGTAGCAGAATCTAGAACAATGCGACGCTGAACTGTTCCTCAAGAGCGTACGAATCCTCCAAACAAGAAGTGGAGCATTGTTTATGGTGCTTTATCTTTAAAGATTTGTTTTACGCCTCACGGATGGATTTATTGGCGAAATTGATTTGTTAAACCGATCGATGCAGTAGATTCCCTTAGCGGAGCGTTTTCAGGAATTTATGGACATATCTGTTCTGGGTCAGGTCAGTGGCTCTTTTGCAAGGTCTATGGGAAAATTTCGATTTTTGTTGTAACAATAAATTGTTAAAAACATTTAAGTTTAGGGCAGGCGTGTTAGAGATTTTATCTACTGTTAGCTGCTTGTGCATCCAAAAAAGTATACCTTCTAATTTCTAGAGCTTCGGATACCAATTTCCGTTGTGTATAAACAAACTTTATGTAAAATTAATATTTGTTTTATTTTTAAAAATAAGTATTTATCTTATGGATGTTATTTCTTGACTAACACTCGTTAATTTAATGAGTGTGATTCAATTATGTATGTATGTTGAATATGTTTACAGTTCATAAATAATTTAATATTTTGTATGGTTTTTGAGCATTTTTTTAACCGACGATTTATATCTGTGCAGAACTCCAATTATAAAAACATGCATATTTTCGAAGCTTCCAAATCGAAAACAATCAATTGAATATTGTTAAGTGGCAAGAAAACAGACATATTTTTTTTCGCAAAAACTATTAGTGCTACAAAATTTTACAGAGAGCAGAAAATTGCGAATACATGATTACTGCATGAACCAAAAAAAAGTGAGTTGATTTTCTCCACCAAATAAAAAGTGCTGGTAGTTATCCACGACACTCAATAATTCACCACTTGTCCAAAACGGATGAGCTCGATTGTTTTATCAAAATATGAGCCTTACATAAAAACAAGCTCACAGCGAGATTCACCAAAATTCATCGTACGATTCGCCCGATATTTCAAAAAAGATATATTTTTTTTAAGAAATTTGACCATCAATAGCAGAGGAGCCAGATATTTTTTGTCATTAAAAGTTAGGTCAGAACGTCTTCTTTTGATGCAAGGAATATCGCAGTATCTTTTTGATCATGTGCTTACGGGACACCCTGTAGACCCACGCACGTTATAAATGCGTATTATGGCAAAAAACATACATGTGAAATTTTGATTTTTCATCTAAAATTTCATTAGGGGTAGAGAATATTAACTCTATCAAAATGCTCCGATTTCTACATCGTTGTCATCACAAGAAAACGGGGAATGCAAGACGCTCATTGAAAAACACGCGAGAAGCATCAGATCCAATTTAATTTACTTTTTTTTGTTCCAGTTAAAGCAATTTTTAATCAATCGCGATCTTTAACTAGTCGTAGCTGCCTTGTTATTATGTAAGATATACGTGATATATTAGGGAACTTCTCAGTCGGAAAAAATAATTAAGATAAAAAAAATACGCATGGGAAATTTTGATTTTTGAACAAAAATACCATAAGGGCGATTTTTTCGAAAAATCTCAAGTCTGGGAAAGCGCCTTGATCTATACATCACTCTCATTGCAAGGAACCGAGAAATCTAAACCGCTAATTGAAAAAACGCTAGTAGGAGGCAGATTTGAAATAATTGACATTTTTCCCCTAATCTAAGCGGATTTTCACGGACAATATGTTATATGCCTATTATAGACTCAAATGCTCTACGTAAGTATATAAAAAACTCTAGGTCGAATACTATATATTGAAATATAATATATTATTTTTCAGGTTTACTAAAAGAATCGTCAGGTGTTTAATGTTTTCCGAAAAAACTCCAAGACGTGTACCGAATATAAAGTGCCTCCAATGTCCTTTTTAAGCTTCACACGATCTTTCAGCAACAACAATTTTCATATTATAGATTCAAACGCTGTTTTTATGAATATTGAGTTCTTGGGTCAAAAAGAATCTACAGAACTAAAAAACAAACGTATAAAACTTCCAGCCTAAAAATTTTTGATCTAAAATGTATTAATTAAGTCTAAGCCAAATTGATAATTGTACTTTAAAAAAGGGAACAAATAGGTGTTTTACGATCCTGATATAATCTTCTATTAAATGTAGAAGTGTACATACAGGGTGATTCAAAATTGGCGTCGTTCCTCTGGAGGTGTTGTCTGGCGCTGTTATATGAGTACAGAAAAAATAGTAAAAGAAATTAATTGTTATTAAAAACTGAGAAACTTGCAAAAAACTATATCAGAGATACGGCAGCAATGTTTTTCAAGATAATCTGCCTAATTAACTTTGCGCAAATACCTGTTACTCCGTAATTATTTAAAACTCCGGTAACCATGGATAAATAGAGAGTGACTATAAGATAGACAAGGATAAACGGTAAATTCAACAGGAATCGTTGAATGACGGAACCTATTTCGAAATGTCAACCTGTTCTCATAACCTCGAATTCTGCGGGGTTTGGTGTTTACATAAATAATCCATACAACTCCAAACAAGCTAGTGCCTGTGTAATCTCCTTATTATCCACTCTTATCAAGCAGCTTCTCGTATTCAGTTAATTAACTCGTGCTCCATTTATATCTCCTTGTGCTGTGTGTATCGTACAAACGTGGTAGGAACGTAGCCCTCCTCGGTATTTATTTGGTACTTCAGAAAGTGTCAGTTATTGAGCTCTGAGTACCCCTGGAAGGCCCTGATTCGATTATATCCAATACTTGTTCCTCTGTGCCTGGAACCCGAACATCGATTGTCGTCCATTTTCCTGGAACCACTCTCCTTGCCTTTTGTTGGCGTGAGTTCTTTCAGCTTCTGCCATGTTACTGTAGCATTTCCCCTGAACTAATCGCATATCCGCAAAATTGTGAAAGGAAATTCAAAGTAAGTCACAGTTTGACAAATTATTGTTATTATTGACAAGTGACATTACACCTGTAACTATCTGTTAATGACGAAAAACATCATTGCCGCTGTGCCTTTTCATCAAAAAATTGTAGAAGAGAACTTTTTTGATTACAGAAATTTTCGTAATTTGAAGCAAAGATCGTAATTTTTATTTTTGAATGCTTAAGTATTCCAATATGCTACCAATTAATCATGGAACAATTTCAAAATTATGCTTAATAACAAAGTTTAAATTCGACCTTCAACTGTTAATATCTTCAAGAAATTTTCGAAAAAAAAATTTTCAATATTTTTGTCGTACGCCCCAAGGGAGCCTCTATCACCCCTTAAAAGGAATAACGCCAATTTTGAATCACCCTGTATTTAAATACGAAACATGTTTTTTTTTAATTAAGTAGGTAATTCAAATCAACTTTTTTTAGTTTTTTGGAACAACAAACAAGCTTTTTGCAACAATTTTTGGAAACAAAACAGATCTTTTTCCATGCTCTCTCTATGCTTATTAGATAACCAAACATTGGCACACTGATTAGGCTTAACTAGACCAGAAACATGTTAAGAATAGCTTTGCTTTGGATCTCGGTATGCCCCGAATGCAAAAGAGGACTGCAAGCAGGCTGAAACTGAAAATTCCTGGAAACGGTTTTTCTGGAACTGAAGTACTCAAGATCGTGATCCAGCCGCAATTAGACTGCGTACTGACAGGCGTCGTCATAGAGACGTCGTCAAAAAAACGACGCTCCTCCAACGGCGGCGTCGTCCAACACGAGTACAGTGACGTACATTTGCGGGGGCGCCAAAAATACGTGGGCCCCCAGCTCCACATGGCGGGATTCATTCATGGCTTTTGATATCACTGTTGTTTCGCAAACCGAGGCGAGATGTGAAGTTTCTTTTTGGCCGGAGAGAAAAGCGTGTCGTGTTTTGGGACGTTCGGGTAAGATTTTCGAAAAGAGTTTGGTGCGAGCTTGTTCGCTGTTCGGTCAACTTTACAACTTCCTCGGAAACTTCGTCGAATCGGTGATTGGCACAACTTGTCGAGTGATACGCGAGTTGGTGATAGAATCACTGCGGAGTAAAGTGCAACTGCAATTAACTGCGCAATTTGATGGATGCGAAATGTGTGATTGTTAAAGGCAATTATTTCGAATATTGAGTGCTGGAATACAGTGAGACTCAACTAATCGAACGCGGGACCAGTTATCAGTGCCTTCCATAGGATTTTATATGAAGCACCATCACCGGAGTGTTTCCTGTAAGTATTCATATTCATTTTCAGTTAATAGCAGTAATTTAGGCACAACTATACGCTCAAACACAAAAAGAAAGTCGTCTGACAACCTCAATTAATCCCAAAAATGTATCAGCTTTTTGCAATTGCAATTTGGCAAGTACAAAAATTGGCACCAATTCTTGAGATGAACCAGTGGTTACCAGCCAAAACGAGCCAATTTGTGGCAATATGAAAAGTAACGTGTGTATATCCCCAACTTAAAGCTTGTTAGTAACAGTAACTGTAACAGTACTTTGATGCATATTTTCAAGTTGATCTCAGATCTCGATTTCTCAATCGGTAATTCAAAGATTATCAAAAAAATGCTGAAACCAATTTCGATGGGAAACCGTAAAAAATGCTTAGCTAAGTTATCCTTCTCTCGCTTTCGAAATAATGAACGCTTAGAAAATAATTGTTTAAAAAAAAATTAATGCCATCATTAGTCTCGTGATTTTTGTATCTGTTTGCTTCAGATCTGAAGCCCGTCAATACGCGAGAGCAGTTATTTAACTGTAAAAAAATCCTCACATAAGTTGAATACACAGGTGTGAATTGTGAATTTAGCGATGTAGGAGAATCTAGAACAACAAAAAGTTTTCCTATCTACGGCTTTCGAAATAATTAAAGACTTCAAACTTGCACTATGGCTTTCTAATAATTTCCAGATTAATGTGAGCGAAAAAGGACATGAAACCGTTTAAAATGCCGATTAAACAGCAAAATGCAGTCGCTTAACCGCAAATATTTATCAAGTTGAATAATTTCCCTTCTAAACTTCCTGCAATATGCAATATTTAAAAAGGTCGAAATTGAGCAGATTATCATAATATTGTAAGTCCCCATAGACAAGGATTGGAGAGAATTGGCTCTGCGCTATAACAGAACACAACAGATTGATGAAACCGATTATCTACATCAACATTTCCATTTTTCTTAACTCTCTCATTTTAACTGATTTTATTGTCAACGCCTTCCCTGTGCTTTCGCTAACGCTCTCTTCATTCCCTAACCTTCGATTTTTTGCTTCATATTACTTTTCTCTATACTAACTTTAGGTATTTAGGCTTTAGATAGCACCTGAAAGATAGCTACATATTTCAAAGTCATATAATGTTGCTTCAGTCGAATTTAACTGCTATTCTCCGAAATTTGGTTATACCTACAGATTGGGCTTGAAATATAAAAAAAATAATTGAAACGATTTTAACAAAATTAACAACTACGAGTGAATTGTTGCCTACTTGTTCCAACACGTTTAAACAGCCCGCTCTCAGTTGAGTCACATTTAATTTTATAACACTATCTGGCTCTAAAAGATGGTAACCTGAGGATCTGGACCAGTTTCCATAAAAGGTGTTGGTCTGCTTGAACTGGTTTAGTAGCGCCCCGATTGAGAGACAACAACAGTTTTTGGAAAGTTCGCGGTACCTGAGTATTCAAGTTTGTGTGTAAAGTGATGGGGTTGGAGCTTTAAGATTAAGAGCTTTGTAAGGTAAATATGGATGATCAACGATATATTGGACTTTCTAAACGAGCTGAGTACTTGCTTTTGAGTTTGCAAACAATCCAAATATCATCTGTTCATTTTAGAACGATTGTAAGAAGAATTGTTAATAGTTCTGAAGTCAATGTCCTCATTTTGTGAGTCAATCAACAGATATAATAAATGAAAACCTTATTCTCTCTGTCACACTTTTAAATACTGTATAATATTCGTTATTTTAACTGTAATTTAGAAATGATCTTCAGAATATCTACTAAGTGATTTGCATTGAAATACCCAAATTACTGTTTCAAGGAAACGAAATTGAAATTCTCCGAAATTAAGGTCATCTTGAACAATTGCAATCGTTTCTTCAGATGTCATACTCTAATTAATGATTGTGACATTTGGTTTCAAATTTTCGAAAGCGGATCCTTACCATTTATGAAAAATCAGGGTCTCATAACGAAATAATTTCTACTTCTGACTCATTGGTCAGCCGGTAAATATGTCTAGAAAACACCTCTCTGAAATATTGTTATTAATTGGTTGGGTCACTTTTACTTACTGAAATGGACCGAATACGTAATTTCGCATAGAAACAATTTATTAATAGCGTCTTAATAGAGATAAATAGTATAGGAATTGTCGTAATAAAATATCACAAATCAATAAAAATAAATTAGCTTCACACAGAAGTTCAGGGAGTTTGGATATTTTTTATGCTTGCTTCAACAGTCTTTAGCATCAGCATTCAAGAGTATCAAGGAAGTTTAAAATCATCAAAGATTTAAAGTTACAACAGGACTAATTGAACGCACGTTATTTGAGGCAGATTTGCTGATTTTATATCAATTGTTCTTGAAGGTCTGTCTTGATTATTCTGTTACATTTTTATTGTTAAGTTCTTCCAAATTGATAAGCTAATTTTAATATCAACAGAGCTAAAAATCCGAAAAAAACTATTAGTTTCTAATTTTAATAGTTTAACAGTATCCAAATCAACAAACACATAAATAATATGATTAGCTCTATCCAGCAGAATTTGACAAAACTTCCAATTTGAAGCTCATTATCATAATAGTTCTAGTTATTGTTACTCAGTCACGTTAAGAAATGTAATAGAGCCGAAGTTAATTGCAACTATTCAAAGGTTCGTTTTAAGTTCTCAATTGGGCGCAAAATTACAAACGGGTGTTAAGCGAGTGGATATACAATAGTATAAGCAATAATCGTCTTATTATCTTTCAAAGACTAATAGAGCGAGCAACATATCAATAAATATTAAGCTTGGACGTTCATCTAATGTAAAGATACATGCTGGATGGTGAATTACAAAACTGTGAACATTGTTCAAAACTAGAACACGAATAATTGAAATATGATCAAGTTAACTTTCTTTCCAGGTGTTCCCAGAACGTCGGTTCCACCACACCATCCGCAACAATTTAGCGCCGTCCAGCCAAACATATCCGCCCCATTTCTGCCATTTTTACTAACAACACTTTATACCGATTTACACTATTCCCTACCAATTTTACTCGTTTTCGTGCATCGACCGTATGGCAAGAGGTCCTCTAGCCCCTTGCCACTCTGTCACCAGTCAAAATGTTAACACTTGCGATGCGCCACTCCCAACACAGTGACACCACACGGGTACCACCAAGCGGGATTGGTTCCAGTAATAACGGAGATGAATTCGTGGACATTTTACAGGTAAGAATCACTTGGCACATACTAAGATAAATCAATTTGAACTTTCAAGAAGGGGAATTTTGCAACTTTGTTTCTTCTGAGCTCAACAGCCGTGATATAGTGTGTGTTATTTCTACCTAATAGCTCCTAACCGAAATGGTACTGACTCCTTTATCACGACTGAAGCTACTCTTCTAGCGCAATTTGAAACAGATGAAAAATCAGATTTCCAAAAATGTCTTGAGTATTTCAATGCTGAATTTGACTACAAAAATGGTGATTGAATTTCACTGCAATAATCATGCTAATCCGTATTTCTTGTGTTTCATGCCTTTGTTTCCATATTCTTTACTATGAAAATATTTTGTAATACATACATATACAGTAAGTCCCAGAAGTAACTCCTGAATTTTTAATTTAAAATGCGGTTTTTTATGTTAAGTACTTTTAAGGTTAAGTACCTACTCTCCTAGCGCAATTGAAAACAGATAAAAAATTCGAATATTCCAAAGAGAAAGTTTTCATCATAATCGCGTTGAGTTGAGGAAAATTAACATTCATCTGTAGCCAGAAATTGGCAGCAAACATCTCATTCAACTGTCAAACACTCAAAGAGAAACTATTCAGCTACTCTTTCAACTAAAGTATTTTTGCCAAAAATATATTTCTAGTTTAACACTGTGTGATTGAAAGCATATGGAGAGTTTGGAAATAAATCCTATCGTCTGCATCAGCGATTTTTATCAGTTTGACACTATCTTTAACGAAGCACCGTGTTAGATAAAACCTATAGAAGATGCATTCAATGTAACGTTTAAACAGACAATCAAAGAAATTATGGTCAAATCCTTCACAAACCCCACCCCACTTGGTGACATAGCAGACAACGCTCGTAACATAAAGCTTGCAAATGTAAAACTAGTTTTTAAAATAATTTTCATTTCAGAAGTCACTGATTTTGTTATCTATTGAACCTCTCAGTAGAAGCTTTATTGCAAATACAGAAACCGTCCGAAAGTTATTTCTTTAGGGAAAACTAGGATTACAAAAAAAATAGAGAGAAAAACTTAAGAGAAACGTTTTTAAATGTCTAGCGAGGCATGATCGAAGGCAAATAGTTAAATCGACTTAAGAATCATATATTATCGTTAAGTTCGTAGTTGAGTGATCCGAAATTTTTCTCCACATTAGATATAATAAATGACTTAGTGCTCATATCAAACTTCTTTCAGGCGGTTTCATATGTTTCTTTGCATTTTTATTATTCAAACCGTTTGCCAATTTTTTCCGAAATTCTGGTTGAGGGCCGCAAGTGAGAACGAGGTTTTCTTTGCACTTTGTGGGCGTGCTGGCCTTAGTCGATTCTTTCCCCGTCTATTAATCAATGAAATTATCGAAATCCGTCCTACGAGTCTCGGTTAATTCTAAAATTGTAGACATACTTCTTTTACCGCAATACATAAACTTGCATTTCAGAGTTTCCGGGCTTGTCTTCTATCTTTAAAGTGGCATATTTAATTTACTGCATCAATCTGCAAATGTCCTAATCAGTGAGCAGTTTTTGCCTTAATTTAGTTTCATTAGCGGCTGTCATAATTGGAGATTTCTCCTTGGTACGCCGACTTGGCTCTCTGGAGAAAGGGACAGTGCCAGCTGGTGGGCGATGTTTGTTTCTTCCACATAATCGGCTTTAATCCACAAATTCCACTGTCTAGACACTGACAAAATGAAAAATAAATCTTATTTTTAGCTGAAAGAAGCGTCATTGACCTTTGCTATCTATACTAGACATATTCAATAATAATATTGCTAAGAGGCTTCAACTTGCGTGCAGGTTCAGCAGATTCTTCTGGATTCAAATCGCAGAGAACCTGCAGGTTTGCATCCAGTCACCACGCAACCGGGGGTGCCGCCGCGATTGGTGATGGACACGTTGGGTACCACGTCTTCGTATTACTACGGAAACCCCACCTATCATCAAACCCCTCCTGGATCAGCTGGAGCCAGCATGGATGACTTGGTTGCGATGTGGTTCAGTGGAGGACCGAGCACATCAGGTAAGGCTTTTACTGTCTATTTATGTCCTGGGCGTGTTCTGGCTTTTGTTTCTTCAGCCATTTATAAAAAATTACCATATTCCACAGGTTGGACTTGTGTGCGTTATGTAAATGCGTTATTGTTTCGAGTCTTTTGACATTGATCTATCGCAGCTTTTGGACATAACGGGCGACTTGCTGATTGAACAAGGTTAACTTTCTAACACCTATTATTTTACGTAAGCGCTCATTTGTACGATTAATAAATTACGCTTATCCTTTGATACAGTAGCCGAGGAATTTAATTCAATTAAAATTGCTGCTCAGTTGATGGCTAAGTCGACAAATTTATGTGGTGACTCACGCAACGCGACATAAGCGACCAATTCAATGCGATAGAACCACGATGTTGATGTAAAAATTATCCAAATTTTAAGACAGTCAAAAGGGGAAATTTAAATGCAAATTGTCGATAAATAGTTGATTTAAGTTAGGATTAAGCAGAATGATTCGAGCGACTGTACTTTTCATCGCCGCAGCTAGAGAAAGTTTGAAAAGTTTCTCTATAAACTGCGGTCGAAATTAAGTTGGAGTGTTTGTTAATGTGTCGCTAAACACTTACTACCACATCTGCATAGTCTTCCTTATACGATTTAAATAACGCGATATTTTATAGCTATTTTTTTTCTATTTAGTGCTGATGAGCCACCGGATAGTTATATATAAGTCTTAAAAAGTCAGCTGTAAGATTAAAACGTGAAGATGTGCATTGCAACATTTTCCAAAAGACCAGTTAACCGAAATTATAAGCAAGAAAAACGATGAAACTCTTGTGGAAATCAACAAATTAAAATTAAGCATGTTCATTAACGACTCGGAGCGATCATTGACAACGAAATTAAAATAAACCTCACTCTCATCGCGCTTCTCCTCTAATAAACGCTCATGTTGGAAACCGATAAACACCATACATGCACGTTTATTCAAATCGTTCCATTAATGATTTCATTAACTTCCTCGAGACTTCTGCAACACAATTCCATATTTGCCGCCTCTTCAACCGTACGGTTCACCAATAACATTAAAACTTATAATTGCTCTTTAGTTTCAATATCACCTTTTTCGGATCCAGCCTTACGTAATTACCGTGTAATATTTGCCACTTTTATATTAGTTGAGCCCACATGTATTTCAGCCTGCCTACGCCAATGGATACGTCAGATATTCAAGGATAGTTCTCAGCAATATAAAGAGTGAGAGACGTAATAGTTTCCTTTGGACTTTCGAAAAGTGGGCCTAAAGGTTGATTTTTTCCAACCCAGGAAATATAGTTCAAATGTAGTCTTGATACGACACTGGATACTTTTTAAAATGGTCTACTTCTCATTGGTGAAATCGATTTATTCTATACAATCTACTATAATTACTTCTAGTCTATTATTGGTGTTTTGTTCGAAAGGCCCTGGAACATCTTAAAGTTTAGTTCCTTTCACAACCATCCTGAACTTGTTTACTTTATCTAAACTCTGCTAGTTAACTCAATGCTTTACTGAAGCGCGGAGATTTTATTACATACCTACATACTCACACTGTTCAAAAATTAATGAAGAATACTATTTTCATTACTTTCATTAGTTAACTTTTGCAATATATTAAACGCTCTCAACGTGATTTAGTAACTTTCGCTTTATCAAAAAAAAGTTAAACAGCACCGTATGGAGAAACAATGGTCACTAGTATCGCAACTTCCACACTAGGAAAGAGAAGTGTAAAATAGGCAACCTTAAAATTCGCTTTATCCTTTCAGGCAACATTCACGTCTGAACCATTGTTTTCTCTCCAAATTAACGATAACTATTAAATAAACTCCAATATTCTCAAATATGGTGCGCCATCCTACGCCAATGGCTTCGTCACAATATCCGCTGTTTTTATTCAGTCCAGTTTATTTTTTCTAATATTCAAATCAGTCTCTGCCATATTAATGGTCGCTCGCTCATTATAATAAACTCTTTGAATTTAAATGATCTACCAAACTTTAATGAGTTACATTGTTTTAAAACCATTTCACATTCCAACCAGCAAGTTTTAAGGATATGTTTGAGGACAAACATTGTAGGTATTCCTTTACATGGAGAATATTGAAATAGTTTGGGGTTTGTTGAAGCTTAGGTGTAAATTAGGTAGGACAATCCAAGGAAAGAATGCAGCTTATGATGTTTGTCTGAAATTGATTACATTTTCATAGACTCTCCTTGCCACAAAAAATGGTTCAAATTTTGCAATTAAATACTCTCTAAAACTTCATGATAAACATTTCATAAAACTCACCCTTAATTCTACGAAGAGTCATGTTTTGTTATGAAAACCATCCCACTCATTCGCTTTACGATGAGTAAGATCGAAGATAAGATTTTACAAGCCCTATTTTGCTGAATGACATATTGGCATAACCTTATGACCTTTTTACTATAAGCTGACTCTTCCTAGTAATAATGTTACGTTTCCAGGGAAGCATCGAAACATTAGCACCCACACGTAACCTAGATAACTGACTCGAATTCATTCATGAAATCGAGTTATGTTGCGTCTAAAGTCAGTAGCGCGTATAACTACACGTCTAATTATTACAGCTACACTGTTAACAATAAGGAGAAAGTTACCTCGCCAAAGCAAATTTTTTTACTTAGCTCATTTGTGTACCAGCACTTGGAAACATTTACCATCTCTTCCTAGCCAGAGTTTCTTTATATTCAAAATAATGAAGAAGTTGTTACAGAAAAATTAATTCAATCACATTAAGTGATGATTGGAACGTTGTGCAACAAGGCATTCCGAACATTTATTAGTTGGGAACGTACAACGCTCTTTAGGAGATCTGGCCGTTGATAGCGACAAATAATTCTGAGCAAACATTGCTCTTTTAATAACGGGAACAGATAAACAGATAAAATAAAATAAATGCCACCTAGAAAAAACCCACTTCTAAACTGAAGCACTCAAAGAAATGGGGGCTTTGAGGCAACGAAAACATTAAGCAAATATTAAGGCAGGAATCGTTCAGAAGCTAATTTTAATCAACAGCCTTTAAAAAAAGCATACTCCTTAAGGGTAATTGCGGCAAGCTTTAAACAAGAACGTTAATTAGCAAGAAAATATCCTACTTTTAATTACAGAACTCGTGAGCAAACATTTGAAGAACGGCTTTGGAAATTGAATAAAAGTAAAGTTTACCTAGAATAGTTTGCAAGGCTCTCGTCGCAGGAAATAACGACAGTGCTGGATTCTCTCAGCTATCTACACACAGTAGGATTTTACAACCAAAAATGCAACTGCGTCTCGTGCACTGTTTCACACAAATCTCAATCCCTGGAAGCATCAGAAGGAAAACTTTCCAGCTTCAAAGAAATTAACTTTCAAAAAAAGTTTTAGTGAGAAAATGGACAAGCAACAGCTGCGTCTTCAGTTTCTGTGTAAAAATCATCAATTAAGGAAATCGATTCTTGTAGGTACGCCACTGCATATTTTTACCGGGAAAAGTGCAACAACGACCCCCTTCAACCCCATTCGCCAACCGATTTACGAGCGAGTGCGCTTTTCGTCGCCCACGTGCCATTTTCATTCACAAAATGGCAACAGCCTGCTTCTAGGTCAAACAGCACGTCTCGCCATGCTGATATAATTTATCCGAAACGTCCCTGGGTAGAATGCGTCTGGCCGATTCCATTATTTACCCCACCCTAAAATTAAAGCCCCTCTTGGGAAGTTCCGCAAACCGTCCTAAAGTTGATCAGGCCATTGATGAACCTTAATTTGTAGGAATGTTAAACTGAACTAACCATATCACGCTTCCGTGGCCTTTTGACATGTTTCATCTTGCTGAACAGTTTACGGCTTTTTCGGGATATGAGTAAGAGCTGATACAAAGTTTTTTCGCATAAAGTGTAAATGATCAGAATATGTCAATCAATATTTTCTTGGAAATAACATGGCGCAATTGGCAACAGTTCGCAGTATGAAAAAAAAAATGCAAGGTGAAATAACAGAATCTATTGAGGGATCGAAAAAAAAAACATTTAAGGTGAAATAACAGGAATTTGAAGGCAATACGTCTGAAGAAATTAAAAGAAAAACTGCCTTTATAAAAGATTAAGAGGCGTCCAGGGTGAAAGCGACATGGTTAACTCACCTAAGACAACTCATTCGAAACCCTCGTTTTTATATTGAGCAGAATTAAAATGACTAATCAACTATCAATGAAACAGAGAGCTGAAGGAGCTGAAGAAGAGCTATTAGGTACTTTTTATTTTACATTTTATCGTTTATAAGTTGGGATATCCATAACTTACGAATCGCCCACCAATTTCAAAAATTCAAAATCAAGTAGTAATTTATCCAAGTGTTTTGAAATAAACTTTTTCAATTCTTTATTCATGCTTCTATTTCCGAAACTCCATTTATAGACATTTTCACCGACCATTCGGTTTCCAGGCTACTAATGGCATTTTCTCGGTTAATATCAAAGTTCAAACCAGGTAAACATGGAATTCTCGTTTTTTCCGAGTTCCTCTTTCAGAGTTATTAATAATGGCTGGATAAAAATAACATATATGTTTCTATATATAAAAAGTAAACAGAATACAAATAAAATTGAAGTAATCGGACAAGGAATCTGGGATTTGGGCGAAGACAGTGATGGCAGACAGTCGCAATTATTATCCCTTATTAAATTCACGGACAAAAACAGTATAAAGATAGATGCTAGCGTGATATAAAAATAAATGTGTGAGAGGGAATTGTATACAAAATTCAAGACTATTACTTCTGAGAGGAAAGATTTATTCAATCAAATCATTTCAAATATAATTCTAATGCGCTTCTACAAACAGATGAACGAGATTAAGTCAAATTTGCCCTAACTTTGGAACTCGATAAATTGCAATTGGGTCAAGCGATTTGGTCTCTGTTTGAAGCGCCATTTGTTCTCTCTTAGTGAAGGTTTTGCTAAAAATTAATCACCTCACATAAAGCTTCTACAGTGGTGGCAAATCAAAAAATGCAAAATTTGTAAAAGTTGGGCATGCTCCTAGTTGGACAAAACCGTAATTTGCATATGAGCGGCAAAAGTTTAAAGATAAACCAAATAGCTCAATACACTCTTTGAATTTTGACAGGTGTGGTCGATGGTGGTCTCAGAAAATCCACTTTTTGGTTTTGCAGCGTTAACGTTTCTGCTCTTGGACCGATTTTCACGATCTTAAGCTCATATTGAACCTAAAACTTGCAGGCGGTTGCATAAAAATTACTCAAGTCAGAATTGCGAAGATTTTCAACTACCTAAGTGATGTTTACTTTCAAATACTTCGTTCATTCAAGCAACCCGGTATATTGATTTTTTCTGAAGTCGACTGCGAACTTTCAGCTTCAACATGAGTCTTACATTTTGCAAATCGGTTCGCAAGAACAAAATTATGACAACTCTGTAAATGAACTAGATGGGCACAAAAGCCAAAAATCTCTTTCGATATATGAGATCTATATTAATGCCTCCCAAAATAAAAAAAAAATGTTTTTGTCCAACTTAGAGCATTTGGACTTTCACTAATTTTGCATTGATTCATTCGCCGCCCTGTAGAAATTTTATCTGCCTAACAATATTTTTGGCAAAAAAAACGCACGAACCGAAAAATAATTTTACTAAATAAAGCTTCAACAGAAGTCTAATCGCCCGCAGCAATTAGAATCTTTCCAGTTTCTAAATTAGCCAAGATTTGTATCTACATCTAACGTCTATTTTATTGAGCAGTTTAGATCATTTATTTAATATCAATATCAAATATCACAAAAATGGAGTGATTAAAAACTTAAATAAAACAAATTAAAAACAGATATTTGCTTCAAAATGTTTACTAACTAGAATCACTTTGGCATGCAAGGCAAGTGTAGTAAGTTCATTTGCCTGCTAACTGCAAGATTAAAGCTTCTATTCGCAGAGCATTTTCATTGGGCGTTCACGTGCAGTGGGAACTTTTAAAGGATAAATTGGTATAACATCCTTTTTGAAGCCATTTACATGTCATTTAATATGTTAAATCGATAAACTCTAAACTTCTCATATATCTCTTCTGACCTGTAGGTAAGGTTTGCATATTCTACAATTTTAGCATTTGTCATCAACCTCAAAACACGTTTAAAAACTTCACCCATTTTTCCAGAAAACATTCTTAAATGTCAAACCAGGTTAATTTCCAAAAATATTAAAACATTTTAATAGCGTTTTTATAAATTTCCTCAAATGTGTGAATTTATCGAATTAAAAAAAATGGAGAGTTTTTATTTAGATGCGAATAATCCTTTGATGGTACATTATGAAGCTATGAAACATAGTTTGACGAAGTGCGTGGAGTAATAATAAATCAATTTCCTTCATGTGTTCCTAGTTGCATTCGGATTTTTAAAAATTAATATTTTCTCCAGTAGTGTCTTGGTCTCTGTGGGATTGTCAAGGTGAGAGCATAGTTTCCAACCAACCCCATTTCCCCTTTTTCTTCAATTTTTAAAAAAATCGTCAGGTCACAACGGTTCGAGTAACGACAGGAAATGAAAAAGTTCAGCTTCAACAGTAGGTTTAATAATTTAGTGGATTTTTTGCGCACGAAAAGCTTCTACCACCTGTGAATTACCGTAAGCAAAGGGCAAACCACACCCCATCAGAACCAGAGTTAGCCGGGCCTCGTGCTGGTCCCATTGACGTCACATTCATTCATAGATTCGCACCCCTCTTTGTCATGTGATCTGACTACCCCACTCTGCGCCCTAACGGTCAATGCCGTTTAAAGTTCGGGGGTTGGTTAGGGGGTGGAACGTACCAGGGCAGGTCTAAAATTTCTTGAGCGCCAGCAGTCGAGGTGAAGGGCATCACAACGTTGCCGGCACATCAGAAGCGTCTTTCGGGAAATTCATTCGCAGAATCAGCTGGAAATCGGTTTCCAACTGGACCATCATCGACCAAAATACTCGTGATCAGCTGTTTTGCGGTTTCCAGAGAGTGTAATCAGTAGAACGTTGCGCAATTTTAAAAATACTAGTTGTTTAAGTTTTTATACGTTTTGACGTAAATCGACACAACGCGATCTGGCAATGAATTCAACATCTATAAATATTCTTTACTCAATACGCGACGCTCGCGCTCGCTTGTGATTCACAAGCTACTTTATTGCCCTCAAAATTTGGTTTCCCTAAAAGGCTCGGACCGCAGCAGTCCAAAACTCAAATTAAATTAACATATTTTCAATTAATAAATATACGGCTAGAAGTTGAAGCATTTACTCAATAACTAAGTGGGGTTTTTATTGCTCTCTATGACATGTTGGATTTGTGCAGTTTGAAGAAAGTTAAAACTTATATT